TTTATGTACGACCTACACTGTAAGAGCTTATGACGTAACTCATTTTAGCCTTTTTGAGTTACGTAATAAGTCGCATTATCTTGCTTATGGCCATTTGCATGGCTATCATTTAAGGGATATTTAATCTAAGTAGAGCTTTGAATGTGATTTTTGTTTCAACAAGAGTCACATTCAAAGCTCCACTTTGATTAAATATCCCTTAAGTTATAGAGGTGCTAATGGCCGTAAGTGATGAATTGAGCTCATTACATCACTCAGTGATGTAATGTACTCTCATTACATCACTCAGTGATGTAATGAGAGCTCATTACGTAACTCATTTTTATTGAAAAATGAAACACTTTTCAAAATTCATTTATCAAAAATTATAAAGATAAAATTTTATGAAAAATTTAAACCATTACGAATATACATAATATGTAAAAAATCTGGGTCGTACCTACATAAAATGTTGTACAAAGTATTATACGTGTCCTTGACTGTGATAATCGAGAAGATTTTGGTGGGAAATAAGGACAATAATTGTTTTCATATACAATTTTAATGGGAAATAAGGACAAAAATTGTATATGAAAACATAATATTGTCCTTATTTCCCACCAAAATCTTCTCGTGTTGTATATCACACGTACGGTAACGCTCATTACACCACTCGTGTGATTACCACAACTCGGTCTACGACCTTGTCTTGGCAATATTCCCCACTCGTTACTGTAATGAAGCTCATACCGTACTAGTAGAACGCTAGTCTATATATATAAAAATGAATGCCACTTTTCGTTGTAATTTTATAACTCAAGAACGGGCTCATCTAACCAAACCAAATGTTTAGGCTTTGTTCGGACTATTTATTAGATGGTTTATGTAAAGTTTGCACAAAATCGGTCGAGCGGTTCTTCATTTATCAAATTTTTTGTAATAAATGAATTATTCAATAATTGGAGGATCATTTTGTTAATGGGGATTTTGCTGTCAAATTGAAAATTTTCCAACGTTGACAGTACCAGCATGTTGTTATGTCATTAATGTGGTCATTTCATTACCTCTTTTCGAGCCTCTTTTATTTATTTATGAAAAAAATGTACTAAGCCCGCATACGGCGCCATCTCTTATAACCGATACCAAGTTTATTTTGTATTTTGTATACCGCGCCATTTCTGATACCTGGAACGAAGCTCGGCATTGCAGATAGAGTAGAACAATGCTGCTCAGGAACTGGAGCTATTTCGAACAGAACTATTCCACTATTCCGATCAGATAGAGTGGGGCAGAAAGAGTAGATCAGATAGAGTAGTACAGATAGAGTAGAACAGATGGAGTAGTGCAGTGCATGCAGTGCAGATAGAGTGACACAGGGCTGCGCTAGAGATTTTTTTTGTTTTCTTTACATTCTTTGAACATTCCTGCGCCTGAGTTTATTTATTTGGTTGTACACTTTACAAGAATAATGCCCACAAGCTGCCTAAAAAAGGATGATGTAAAATTTTAATTTCAGGTGACTTCTGATCCAGAGAGTAAACATTAATTTTCTTCAACCAAAGCCAAATTCATCATCGAAAAAAACTGAATTTAATTTAATTCAGCTAATAGATACGTTAACACAACATTTAATAGGTATATTCAATAATTCAGAGGCGGTACGAAGTTCGCCGGGTCAGCTAGTAGTAATATAAATAACTATTACTTCAAATATATGAGCCATCTATCAACTTTCTCTAAAATACTGATACCATTATCACAAGCATCGGTGGTTCAGTGGTAGAATGCTCGCCTGCCACGCGGGCGGCCCGGGTTCGATTCCCGGCCGATGCAAAACTTTTTTGGTCTACGGAAGCAAATTTATGTCAAACTCAATGCAGCATATTGATTGTTAACTTTATTTTCGTCCTCAAGACCTTCAAAATGATGTCAAAGGTTCTTCTCACCTTGTCAGAAAATAATTTTAAGTTATTTTGACCCTTTATTATTACTGGAGTCGGCCGAAACAAAAGAAAATTATTCAATTGTCCTACCTACTCCGTTATCAACGGTTATAAGTAAATTATTGCTACGTACCAGAGCTGTCAAAAATACTTTTAAAAATTATCTATAGTTACAAGATAAGTTACTTTTGGAAAAAGTATCTTTAGTTACTTTGGGTATTTAGTTACTCATTTGAAAAAGGATCTTTAATACGTATCTTGAGTTACTTTTTAAGATAGGTACCTAATAAGATACTTATTAAGAATACTTCATTATTACTTCCAAAGCTTTTGCTGTTCAGTTTCTTTGGTCCACAGGTTTCAGATTCAATTTTAAAAACAAGAATTTTTAGTTTAAAAATCACAAATTGGAGCATAAGGTTCAAAATCGAAGGACATAGAAAGTTATTACAGTTACAATCACAAATCATATTTAGATTTTTATAGAATATTATGGATAAATCGCGACGTGAACTTCTAAAGTACAAAATCGTCAATCACTTCTTTTGTTAAATTTAATGAGTGTACCTACACTAACTTCACAGAGCGGCTGGGTGAGTACAAATGAATAATACATAAAACGTATGCTTGATGCTGTTTGAAGTTTGAACCAGTTTTATCTTGTTGGGTCGGGTTTGGGTAAGCGTCTCAAGGAACTTTTTTCACGGTAACTTAGATTAGACTTTTCAGTATCTACCAACCTACTTCTAAGTATCTGAAATACTTTTTGGTATTCAAGATACTTTTTTAAGATAGGTGCAAGTTACAGACTCTTTTGAAAAGTAACTAAGATACTAGATACTTTCGCCAAAAATTAAAAAATATTTAAGATACATTATCTTAGATACCTACTATAAAGTAACTAAAATACTTTAAAGTAACTAAGATACTTCTTTCTGACAGCTCTGCTACAGTAGGTACCTACTTTTAGGTTTAAACTTGCTTTTGGAGGTTCTTTGTCATCTCTAATTAGAAACAGTCTCTCTCGTATCTGAGTTTCTAGCTGTTACAGGCAAAAATTTATTCTAATATTATTATGTATCGTATCATATTTCGAAAGTTAAGACATTCACTATTGTAGTGTAGGAGCCTCGATCTTGTCATCCTTTACTAAACATTATTGTGATATTTATAGTACCTAGGTAGGTATCATAGATCACTCTTAATTAAATATCAGTCTCACAATAACAGTTGTATTTTTCTTTCACACAGCTTGTTTTCCGTTTTTCTTAGTGTTTCCCATTTCACTTGTATTTTGACTTTATCAATAGATTTCCCAACTGCCTAAGTAGAAATATGTAGCGTCAAAAGCATAGGTTCCTTAAATTAGAACCTATGTAGGTATTATCTACTTATTACTATGATGTGGTAATCTTAGGGCCGGTACTTACCTATTTCAATGTTACCCTATCAAATCAAAACTAACCTAAGGTATACTTTAACGTTAAGGTGAACTTAAAATCAGTTCATTCGGGTGGCTTCAATATCCACCGTGAATTAATATAAGGGAACTTTGATATATCGTGAAACTTGTATTGAGGATGACTTAACGTTATTCTGTACCTTATTAAGGTAACATTGAAATATCGGCCCTTAGAGAAGGCGAGAACAATTGCTTTCTTCTCCACAGCATTAACTAATTGCAGATTTGGTTTCTTGAAAACTTTGAAAAATTATATCAGCTGCAATTTCTTCCTCCGCCTTCCTATGGACTTGAGACTTGAATTTTTGAAAACTTGGAAAAATCATAACTTCTCAATGCAAGAAAAATTGAAATTTGACCATTTCGAAAAAAAGACCACGAAAGGTACAAATCGCTGGTAGAATTTTTTGTACGCGCAAACTGCATTTCTGTGGAAATCTTGGTATTTTTGTGGAATTTTTTGGCATTTTTTGGAATTGTTTAGCATTTTTCTTGGAATCCTTTGGCATTTTTTGGAAATCCTTTGGCATTTTTTGCAAATCCATTCTAAAGTTAAAAATTTTAATACAAAGTCTGAACGCTATTGAATTTATATGAATTAATCTACGACAAACCTTTTTTTTCCAAGTTATGACATCATCGATGTCATAAGTACAAACCTTCGTGGAATGAACCTTATTACAAACATTACAGTGATAGGGAGAAGTTTAAGTTGGAACGGACTGAAAGTTTGTTTAGATACAGGCTATCAATTTACGATGTCACATTGATGAAGACGCATTTGCAACACTGAGGTAGCGATCTATAGGTGAGCTGTGGACTGTGATGTAGGTACCGTGGTGGTGGTGTTCCCTCGGCTTTCTTGATTATAGAAAAATTGACTCAAGATAAAACAATTATTGATTTTAGATCATCTCAGGAATCCGCCAAACTTCTCTATTATTGATCTTATTCTCCAGACAATCGAGCAGAGAGCGTTGTAATACCTAAGTATACTCATGAGAAGGCAGGCTCCTCCTGTTTTGCGAATAAGGTTTCAGATATACTTAAAGCTGATTCAAAATGAATACCACCATTGATACCTGATGTAAGCTGTTCAGGACAGGATCAGAAACTGACATTGGTTCAAAAACTGTCGATTACTTCGTGTGGGTGGTTTGTGTAGAAGCATGTAGAAGCAAACCTCGCAAGGATTATTAGCACCAAACTGTCAAGATATCACAATTTTTGATAAATTCAGTCACCATACTATCAGGAAAAACTTACTTTGGAGGCGATACTTTTGATTCTCAAAAACTAAAGAATTGAGCTGCGATAGAGGTTGTCAAAAATTCAATTCTTCATCCGCCATTGTTATTCTATCGAGCTTTTTTATTTCGCCAAACTGACCATCATCATAGATAGAACTTAGATCACTTTCCAAATGCATTAATTCTGTCTGCTCCAGTTTCTATAAATTTTCTCCAATAATAAATCTAAAAGGAGAAAACCGTGCCGCCATCTCTTCCCCTGACAAGAAATAAAGTTATTGAATCGTTTTTCGCATTTGAAACGGCGCAGCAGGAATATATGGAGCTTTTTGGGCCGCAGTAAGCTACAAAATAATACTTTCACCTGCGGCCTGGTGTGGTGTAGTGGTGTGGTGTGTCAGTCGTTCGGTGGTTGAACTCTGTCGTAGATATCCGTCCACGATTACTAAGCTTTGCCTTTTAACTCTCGTGTATATTGTCATTACTGACTAAACAATACAATTATTATTATTATTGATGACATCCGTTTTTTTCCGCGCTTGGGCGTACTAAATGAAAAATTAACAATGTTTGCGGCAAATCAAACACCATCATTTTATTAATGACAAATATCTTTGGTAAGTGATAGTATTATGCAAAAAAACACATTTTCGTAATATTGTTATTGTATACTGTATTACACGTTTTACCTTGAAGAAAAATGCGCCTTTGATTGCGACAAACAAGTAGGATTCTTCTCTCAAGTGTGGGATCGGATTGATTAAATTATAATTATTATAAACAATTCAATAATATTGAATACCCACTAGTGAATACTCTACTGTATTATACATTAGGTATCTATCTACTGAAACTATCGTATACAGGATTTAGCAATAAGGTATCTTACAAAAAAAAAATATGTTTTATGACGATTGTAGCAGGATTTATGTACCTATCTACTGTGTAGGGCCTCGGGGAAATCTTGGAACAGTTTTGTCTTATGATATACAGGTTGGGTGGTTTAATTTTTATCTGACATGAGTAGAATGATCATAGTAAATCCAGTAGTGGTGCTTTCAGTTGACTAAATTAACAGAATTATGGTTGTATCTTTGGTTGTATGTACCTACTTCTATACAGGAAATGTTTACCGTCATAAAAGAATGTTTGAAAGATTAAATTTAAATTATAATTAAATTAAATTAAATTTAAATTAAATTTCCTAGAAAGTAAGTCTGACAGCTTGTATAAACATAAATAAGCTTCGCTTCAAATTCTTTCCAAAGGGCACAAATATGTAGGTACTTATCTTGAAATAATCTGTCTTTTTGTAGAATTTGAAGAGAGCTACAATCTGGTTGCTGTTTCACTATCTTCTTTTATGAATACCTACGAATAGTTTTTCACAATGATCAATAAATGCGATTGCAACCAATATAGCTACCTACCTTTGAAAAACATCATGAAAAGAAAAATTGCTCATTTAAGGGTACCTATTGTTAGGGACCGATGCTCCTTATGTTAGGAACCCGGAGTGAGTTTTCCGCTGGCTCCAATGTAGTATTCTCGGATTATTTTTAGGCCTTGTACCTATAATCCGGTATCTTAATAAAGTGAAAAGTAAAACTAGAAATTACTTGAAGGTTTAGTTCATTTCAAGTCTAAACGAAACTGATTTTACGTAAGTGCGACTGCTACAACCCGACTCTACACTATCGATCTTACAGAGCAACTGCCCACTCCAATTCAAAAAACTAAAAAATATCCTAAAGGACAACTAAGTTTATACCTAATTCTCAAGGCAATTCTCACCCTCTGGAATAATAAAATGAGGTCTGGGAAAAGTACTCTATCTTTGGCGGCAAGAACACCCTCCATGGGCTATGTATATTTATGTGTAGATACTTACAATAATTTGGGTTCCTGCAATAGAGGTACCGAGTACCGACAAATGGAGACATCTTGTTGGGATATTGGTGTTTACCAGGATATTGGTTATAAAAATCATTCCAGCTGGCACATCTTTAAAACCTAAATAATCAATGAGTTATATAAAGTACCTACCTACCTAATTGATGCGAGACTAGACTAAACCAAACAGATGGTGGAATTTGTTAAACAGAGGAAATGTAGTGAACATTATTATTGTTATTAATAAAATGGTGAATTTAATGGTTCACGACAGTATGTATTTTCTTAATTTTTGTTCATTTCTCAGTAGTCTACCCTTCCTCAGATGAAAGACAAGAAAAAGTTATTCGTAGCGTCACGTGAAACATTTAAAAAAAATATATATATATATATAAAATTAATAAGCAGGTTTCAATTTTATTCCAAGCATCATCTGTCACCAAAAGAAGTGGGCCAACTGACACCCAAAAAAATAGCTTGCTTCGGCAAAAGTCTACGCTTCCTGGAGACAATTTAAGATGTAGAGTCACGTACAAAATATCTGGAAAGCCGAAACGACTCCCCCCACAATCTACAATCTACATCCCTACAAAAAATAAGCAGCCTATTTGAACGACTGAAAAAAAAACGAACTTATCATTCGCTTGATAAACTCCCTGCAGGTGTACAACAACCAAACGATGCGATAAAATAAAGTAAACGCAATAAAAGTTCAAAACTTCTCTTTGCCTCGACTCGTTAAGAGTTTATTCTCCTCGCTGCTGGCAGAAACTCTAGATTTGCATCTGCATACATTTTGGATGGTTTCTTCTAACAACTTTCAACAGAGTCAAAAACAATGTAATTTTGGATTTGTTTGATGAGCTTATTTGTGACGTCAAATGGAAAATGAAGTTTATTGCTCCACTAAAAAAAAAGGCAAACGTAACAAAATCTAATAACCGAAACGGTAAATTGCATTTTACAGGGAGGTGCCCCAGTTTTTTTTTTTTCATCCTCCTAATCCACTTGAAGCCTCTAGGACTTACGCTTTTGTGTTTTGTTAGTTCGGGACCCTTTTTTTTATTACGATCCTTCATAATGGGTAAAATTTTATCTTATAATAAGAGCATCTGGTTAAGATAATCAAGAAATGATTGTTAAATTTTCCTTTTCATTATTATTTGAATCCTGACAAAATTGCTACCAACTCGGACTAAAATTAGCATATTTATTTATGATCAGGAAGGGATATAGCAGCAATTTCCAGGGTATTGTGTGGGATTTCGGTGACATTTTCCGAATAATCGATTAGATAGGTGCAACAGGAGCAGGATAAAATTATTCACTTAATAACTGAAGGCAACTTGTTAAAATATTCGGAAGTGCTAAGTAAAAGTGAAATCACTTAAGTATAAAATAAGATAGCCAAGCCACTAATTGCACTTATTTAAAATTTGTTGCGTAATAATAGCTTGAAATAACAACAATTGCGTCTAGAAATATTACCTAGTTCACTGAAATATTTTTGCTGGAAATTTTCTCATTTTCAGGATATTTTCTTGTTCTATTTTCCAATAATTTTATTATGACTGATTGAATTCGCGGCCAATCCGCCGATTTAATAGAAAAATAATAAAATTATAGCCTCCAGTTTTCCTTCAGAGGCTTTTTCGATTTAATGAAAAATTGATTTCAATGTAAATTTCCGCATCTGTGCTTTGCCAAAGACGAATTAAATTTCTAACAATTCGATTCAATTAAATTTATATTAGAGTACCTACGTTTGTCGACTTTAAAATGCAATATAACAAAACCCGTTGGCACTGCTTTTGCTTGGTATGAAAACTATTTAATTACTATTCACAATGTCGCTTTTTACTTTTTTCGGCCTTGTTTCATTTTTAATTAATTTGTTGTCCGGCTAAGGAAATTGCTACGTGATACTTTGCGAGTTATTAAAATGAAATTATTTCAATAGTTTCAGCACTTTCAGCAAATGGATTTTGGATGGAGCATTATACAGTATTATAGGCCTTGTGTACCTACCCATACTGACGCAATGGAAATAATTTCAGCAACAAGTCAAACTTAATTGCATTGGCGATTGCAGTTGCTTATCTCACTACATTCATAGTCAATTATGTTGAGTATGCATCAGGATATTTCAAAATCCACTCTTACTGTTATCATCCAAACTTCAATAAATATTAAATCACTTTATGAAAATGAAAAAAAAATTAAGGATTTGAAGATTACTAAAGAAGGCGCAAAGTTAAGAAATGTGGAGATAGTCAACCAAGGAAAACTGAAAAATTCACCGAAGACACCACAAAACAACAAGCAAACCAGAAGGGAAATGAGAAAAGAATGAAACAGATACCGAACATAGAAGACCTAAACGCTTTCAAAGGCAATAAGGAAATACATTATAAACAATACAGTTATAACCTCTGAGGTTATAACTAATATCATAGAACAAACTAGAAGCCTGAAAGTGATAAAACAGAAATTGAAGACAGGAAGGAGGAATATTCACAAGATGAAAAAATAGTTAGGACATAAGTATCATACACGAACAACAAGAGATTCTAAAACCATCGAATAGATCGATATAAATCATTGTATAGTGGGGAGGATTCGATCCAAGATGTAGAGATTCCAGTGATACAGAATCAAGGGTCAGAGGAACTTCCATAGATATAACCGAAGAGAAAATTGAAACAGCTATAAAATGCATGAAGAACCACAAAACCGCTGGAGAAGATGGAATTGTAACTGAAATGATGAAACTGGGATGTCAATGCATCATAAAAGCCCTAAAAACTCTTTATAATGCCTGCCTCTTTGGAGGAATCATACCATAACAAGGGAACATTATGATAATCTTGCATAAAAAGGTAGACATACCAAAAATTAGAAACTATCGACCTATCAGTCTGTTATCTTATTTATAAGATTTTTATGAGGATATTTACTAATAGAATGGGACCTTAGCCAGATTTTCAACATACACTAGAGCATGGATTTAGAAGTGGATTTGTAACAAATGACCACTTACAAGTAATAAAATCTTTTGATAGAGAAAGTTGTGTAATACAATAAACTATTGATATTAATATTTGTGAGCTTTTGATTCAGGCCAGCATAGCTCCATGTTAAAGGCTCTTACAGAGTGCACAATTGACCATAGGTGCACAATTCATTAGAATAATATACAGGGTGTCCGAGAGAAAACAGTCCACCCTGAAAATCTTTGAAAATAGATTTTCTAGCTGAAAATGGCCGTACACGTCAAATTTAATATTATGGCATAATATATATACCTGGCGTTTCTCTCTAGAGCCACCCCATGAATTTTTTTAAATGTGAAGAGAGGTTGAGTGTTTAATTTGATTATAAAAGGTAATTTTATTCTATGCGCCTCTTCTTGTTTTTTCTTTTTATCGATTCGTTCTTAAGAAATAGGGATGAACGAGTCTGAATAACAATTTTATTAAAGAAAATAAAAAGTTTACAATTACTTTAATAAATGTTAAAAAAAGATCGGGCGATCTAGCAGGCCATTCTACGCTACCTCTCCGGCCAATCCATCGTCCAGGAAATTCTTCAGTTAAAAACTGACGAATGGGAGCAGCATAATGTGCCCCACTTTGCTGAAACATCAATTCATTTTCTAGATGGTTATCATATCGTTCAAGTAATCTAAGGTTTAAGTGATTCAGTTTGTTGCAGGCCTGCTAGA